TCCCACTGATTAACCCCATCATCTGAAATTTCTGACTGCAACAGTCCCTCTATGTTAAAAAAAAAACATGCTCACACACGCACGCATAAATCTCTTCTACCAAACCAAAACCTTCTGCATTTACTAACCCCCTCTTCTCTACCAAAGAAATTCCACTCCTCACAAAGCCAAAATCTCTCGTTTTCCTAAATATCTGATTTTCTGCATTTTTCTTTTACCTATTTTAGAACCCGTTTCAGGTGGGGTTTCATAGTCCCTTTCAATCTCATTAATACTCACCACCTCCCCCCCTCCTCTTAATTCTATCCAATCCTTGTTTTCTCCACTTGTTCCATACTTTCATTACTCTTCTCTTACTTCCCTTTCTCCCTTTGGTTTCAGTGCCTAATTTGTTTTCTTTTCTTTTCTCTTTTGTATATATATATAATCCTCCACTTTCTAACCAGCTACTACATCACTTAATATCATTCATTATGTTGTCAATGGAAGAAATATTGTGTGAACTTAGTAGAGATGACATGAATAATGAGAAAGGTCTACCACCTGGTTTTAGGTTTCATCCTACTGATGAAGAGCTTATCACTTTCTACCTTGCCTCTAAGGTTTTTAACGGCACCTTTTGTGGTATTCAGATTGCTGAAGTTGACCTCAACAGATGTGAGCCCTGGGAACTTCCAGGTAACACACACACACACATTGCCTTCATTATATTCTTCTTTTGTTCATGTCCCAAAGTACAGGGAAAAAATAGTAGTAACTCAAAAGGAAGCTGATGAGAGTCTTTTTTTACCCCCTTTGTCTTGAAAATATATGGTTTTAAAGTTTTGGAATTTGTCTGTTGTAAATACATGTAATGGAATGTAGTAGTATGGCAGACGTACTAGCTGTTTTAAGATATTCTTCATTGCTTTATCATCAGAAATATTTATTCATATCTAAAACAAATAATGAGAGTATGAGAAGATTCTTGTCTAAAATACATTAAATGGGATATTCTTGTCTAAAATACTTTAGTCATTCTTCTTTTGCATGTGCATATGATATCTCACCAAGAAAGTTTTTCTGTGAAGTTCCACTATTGATACGTACCCTCACGTCATTAATTAGTTATTTACCAGCTTCGCTAAGTTCTTAATAATACATGTCCTTGAATTATAATGCCCTTTCGACCTATAAATTTCAGACATATCTTTCTTTTGTTACCTCATGTCATTTATGATTTACCAGCTTCGCTAAGTTCTTAATAGTAGTAAGACATGTACATGAAATATGTTGTCCACTGACTCATAACCCTTTCCTAGCCATAGAATATAGTAGGAGTACTATTTTCTTCTTTCCTTACATTTTTAAAAATGAAAATGTATGCATCTCCCTGTTGTTGCAGAAAGAAATTAATATGGGTCAAATCTACCTCTATGATTACTTATTAAAACAAGCAAAATACAGTAGAAAATATGTGTACCAGCTAGTTGTTATTATTGCGCACATGCATTAACATGAATGCGACTATTATAGTAATTTAATGGTATGTTCTAGTAATTTTGAAAGTGAAAATTGCAGAAGTGGCAAAGATGGGGGAGAGAGAATGGTATTTCTTTAGCTTAAGGGACAGAAAATACCCAACCGGGCTAAGAACAAACCGGGCAACAGGAGCAGGTTATTGGAAAGCTACAGGAAAAGATAGGGAAGTGTACAGTGCAACCAATGGAGCACTCCTTGGGATGAAGAAAACACTGGTTTTTTACAAAGGAAGAGCACCAAAGGGTGAGAAAACCAAGTGGGTTATGCACGAATATCGTCTTGACGGTGATTTTTCTTACCGCTACTCTTCTAAGGTAAATTTCTCATCCTTATTACTCGCTATTTAGATGATATAGTTAATTACTCGGAGATTGAGAAAATTAAAGGGAGTAATTAATTGTAGAGCTTTATTGTATGTAGGGTCTATAGGTTTTGTCCTTTTTAGGGTTGACTTGTTTAGTAAGTCTCGTGATATTAATTGACGTGATGTGGACTTGATTGATGGATATGAGGTGTTGTTATAGTACTCTAAAGATACTTGCCAAATCTTTTCACTTTGCTGATTCTTAAGAAAACATAGCGAAAATCATCTTGGAATTTCATGTACTAAAATTAAAGATTATTTCATGTTCAAGGGTATTCCCTAAACCTAATGTCACATTAAAAAGTTATTATAGAGTTCTTAGGTGCTTTGATTAAAAAGAGTACTAGTGTAATGTCACTCGACATGTCTTTATTAGGTGCTTTCACTAGTGTAATGTCACTTGACATGTCTTTATTCCCTAAACCTAATGTCACGTTAAAAAGATATTATAGAGTTCTTAGGTGCTTTAAATAAAAAGAGTACTAGTGTAATGTCACTTGACATGTCTTTATTAGGTGCTTTCACTAATAAAAACAAAAATTATATAGCAATGATTATAAAAAAAAAATTGTTAGCTACGAGCGATTACCCGTCACTTAGGTGCTTTGATTAAAAGAGAAGTATAATGTCGCTTGAAATATGTGGTTATTAGGTGCTTTTACTATTAAAAATATGAATTGGCGATGGACAAATTCTGTAGTTAATTATAAAGCAGACACATTATAAAGAAATTATGTTAGCTACGAGTGATTTAGTGACAGATTTAGGACAAAGTTTGTAGCTAATTCTAATTTTTTTTGTAATGTTTGTTAAAAAATTGTAATAAACTTGGCAGGAGGAATGGGTGATATGCAGAATACTACACAAAATAGGGGAGAAGAAAAATCCAATATACCAAGCTGCAGGACAAAACTATGGCTACCCTACAAGCTTGAAAACATGGCCATCATCATCTTTTCTCAACACAGCAGCTCCAAATCCCATATTGGCTGAAACACCAAATCCAAAAACCACAACTACTACACATTGGCAAGAATCATTCCAAATATCACAAAACTCAGTGCAATCACTGCACAACCTTTATCTATTTCACCACCAAGAAAACGACCTTATGAAATCCCTCTTCAGTCCCATTAATGTTTCCCAAACAAACCTCTTCCCAATAAATAATAGTGACCTTTCTTCTGCTGCCTCCTTTTCTACATCCCAAAGCACCAAAAAATACAAAGAAGACATAAACAAAAACTCGTCAATATCATCTTTCCTCTTTAGCAATTCCTTTTGCACTTCAAAGAAAAATGAAAAACAGCAAGTTCCACTAATGCAGGCTAACACAACAATGAAAACAGAAGCTAGTTTTTCACCATATTCTGGTTGTTACAATGATCAAAACCCTATGGCTTCGACTTTTGGGATGAATAATTCATCAGATTGGAGTTTAGTAGGCATAGAAGGGATGCATTTTAATGGTGGATGTACTCAGTCTCAGATGGTGTTGGATCACATGAATTGTCCCATCAAAATCACTGCAGAATCTTGGCCTCTCGATCTCTAAAAATAGAAGAGTTGTTTTTCCATAATTTCTATAGTAGGATGATATGGTAATTAATTATGACTACTGTTATGTCATCCTCTATATATAGCTATCCGCTCTAGTATATGTAATCTTTGTAATTAATTTAGGCTGCTTTATTCTGAAAGATGTTGCTTTCTCCTTAAGGATATATCTAGCTAGTACCGCTATGTAAGATATATCTTTCTTTTCTCGACTAATGTAAAGTTGCAATCTATTGATGGGAGTATTTATATATTTTTTCCATATTTTGTGTATCAAGTTTTTTTATATTTTTTTTTAACTATGTTTATTTGAATTTTGAGTTACTAGTTAGAAGAGCTGAAGACACGAATAAATAGTTAGCTTATTTGTACGTCTCAAATTTTGTAACACAGTTTTTTTGAAATATTTCCAAATGTTTATTACCATGTCATTCTTACGAAGTTTTTACAACATTCAATAATTCAAAGTAATTGACCAATTCAAAATTCAAACTTTGAAGTGATAGATTCATATATCTAATAAACTTTCAACTACTAGTTTTTTGATATTATACTAGTTATTACTTCCTCCATTTCAGAAAGACACTATTTCCTAATTAGTTAATTTCAAAAAGATTAGTATATTCTTATATTTTTTTAACGAAAGCGTTTATAGCTAAATAAATGTTATGACTTGTTTAAAACCTCAAGTTTTAAAAGTTTTATAGTTATACAAATATTAAGATATATTTAAGACCACATTCAATTTTTTTTTTTTTTTTATATGTGCCAAATCAAACTAGGACAAACAAATTGAGAGGCGAATAGTATTATATAACTTAAAATGTTTACACGTGATTTTTCTTACCACTAAAATAGTATTACATAAATGTAACGAAAGAGAGCAGAAGAATTGAAGATCTGAGCATAATGGAAGAAAAAGATTGTAAGTTGAGTGGTCCAACTCAAAATAATAATAATAATAATAATAATAATAATAATAAGACTAAAAAGAAAGATTTAGGTTAGCGTCATGACAATATTGATGAGATGGAAGCTGTTGGCTGGCTTTTGATGATGTCATTTGATTTAAGGAAGATTTAATGGGTGAGTATATGGGACCCGACCCGTCACTTTCGGCCATGATTTCTACGCAAATGCTTATGTTTAACTCAAATAATTTTGCTATCCTAGCTACATCTTTTTTTTCGACCGCAGAATTAAAGACGTGTCGTTAGAACTTGGTGTAAGTATTATATTGGGTGGGACTAAATTTTTTCTCCAATTATCAATCACACAACAAAGGCAAGGAGATCAAATTAATGCCCAACATATGACCTTTTCAAAAATAAGAAAGTCTTCTATTATATCCTATGAAAGGTACTTTATATATATATAATTTTAATTTTGCTATTTTACTCTTAATAACATAATTTTATAGCCATAAAAGTATGTGTACGGTCAAAACCGATTCTCAGGGCTTGATTCGAAGAAATCATACAAAAGCCTTCATATATGTCCCGGGGGCTCTACCAATGATAAAAGGGCTTGATTCGAAAAAATCATACAAAAGCCTTTTTCCTCGAGCGCGACCCCGAAACCAATCCCCAAAAAATTCCGTAGGCCCAAAATTCCCAAATATAACGGTACGACAGATCCTAACGAATATGTCACCTCCTACACATGTGCCATCAAAGGCAACGATTTAGAGGACGATGAGATCGAATCCGTGTTGTTGAAAAAGTTCGGAGAGACCCTCGCAAAGGGAGCAATGATCTGGTATCACAACTTGCCACCAAATTCCATCGATTCTTTTGCCATGCTAGCAGATTCATTCGTAAAAGCACATGCTGGTGCCATAAAGGTTGCAACAAGGAAATCAAACCTCTTCAAAGTAAATTAAAGGGGTAACGAAATGCTGAGGGAATTCGTATCCCGGTTTCAAATGGAACGTATGGATTTGCCACCGGTCACAGACGATTGGGCCATACAAGCTTTCACCTAAGGGTTGAACGAGCTAAGTTCGACAGCATCACGTCGGCTGAAACAAAATTTGATCGAGTACCCAGCAA